GAACAAAATTTGTTCGAGAAGATAGCAGCCCTGACTTGATACATCGTTAGGCCACAAGTCACTGAAAAAGTCAGATATGTATTCAATCACCTCAGACGATGCTAGGTAAGGGCGAGTGCATGGCGTATCCATTAGGAATCAATCAAAACCACTAACTTAATTTTTTTCGCCTAAACAACAGTGCAATTTGAGCGCAAAATAATCAAGTGATGGCATACAGAAGTTGCAGACGTCGATTAATTGTTTATCGAATCGAAGAAATTACTCACAGCGACTCACCTAAACATCTAGAATTTTTGAATAATCTGCAAGAACTTTTCATTGTACAGTTTTCATAGCACTACTATGACATTATAGCTATATGTCTAAGAATACTGAGTGATATGCAAAAACTAAAAAGCTCAGGCAGGTGCGCAACCTTCGACTCTTCCATAATCGCGATGCGTGATATCACCACAGTTGGCATTGGTGAAACGTAGGTTCTACTCTCGCCTGAGGCTTCAAATTTCGCATATCACTTACTATTCTTATCTACATAATTTCTGAACAAAAAATATTTTTGCTGTTAGATCAAAACTATATCAAAAGATCGACTGTTTTCGAAACCCCCAAAAAAACATTCAATATAATTCCAAAAAAGAATGATTTAAGCTCAAAAAGGGGTTGGTACGCCAGGGTCACACACCGGTGTTTCGGAGGTTCGTCCTCCTCATCAGTGACCCCCGCCCCACATTCAGCCCATTTTTGAGCTTAAATCATTCTTTTTTGGAATTATATTGAATGTTTTTTGGGGGCTTTCAAAAACAGTCGATCTTTTGATATAGTTTTGATCTAACAGCACAAATCTATCGACTGAGAGGTGGTGATGGTACAGGGTCATAGTGCACTGTGCCATCACCACATACGCCTCCCTCCTTGCTTCAGTGCAGGGCTGAATGTGGGGCGGGGGTCACTGATGAGGAGGACGAACCTCCGAAACACCGGTGTATGTCCCTGGCGTACCAACCCCTTTTTGAGCTTAAATCATTCTTTTTTGGAATTATAAAAAATATTTGGTATTTTTCGTTTCCAGTATTTTTTTAGGACCACAAATTTCATTAAGATAATCACTTTTTGAGTCAAGCATGTGGTCTCTTATGTAAGGCTGACTTATAGAGCCACATACACGTGTTTCGACCTTGACAGTCTCATCAGTCGGGCGATACCCTTTCGTCTTTTGTCAATATCTGGCATTTGAAATTCAAGCGTGGTCCTACGTAAATACTCGAAACAAAAGGTATGATATACTAACGATACCAGCCAAGAGCAATCGAGTGTACGACACTGTCTGTTCAGTGATAATTTCACTTTTTTGTTTGTTATTGTAATTTTTGATAGACAGTGTTGAATGTTCGTCGTTGCCTACTGTTAGTATAAGGGACTACGCGCCCCGAGAGGACTGGCAAAAGGCGAAAGGGTACCGTCCGATGATGGGACCGTCAAGGTCGAAGCACGTGTATCGGGCTCTATATGTCAGCCCTATATATCAGACCAAATGCGTGGCTCATAAAGTGGTTATCTGGCATATATTCGGCAGCCATTCTTTCCTCTAAACAAAACATGCACGAAGCTGGTACATCTTTCTTGGGATTTTCCACAGTATCACAACGATCGCAGAGGTGTCGGTGGCGTTGGCGTCCTCGTCAAATCGAACTTGACCGTGAACATCGATTCATTCGAACAACCAACAACCCCTATCGGACAATTGCAGTTGAAAACGATGTGCATCAGTGCCGACTTTGATCATCGGCGTTGCTTACGCATCGACATCAAGATATGACGAAGACGAAGTCGAAGCATTGCATGGACCTCGAATAATTCTTCAGAGAAGGCCATACATTCTTCAGGGTAATTGTTGGAGATTTTAACGCGAAAACTGGATCGTTGAGAACGTCTGGAGAAAGCCACATAGGGACCCACAGACTAGAATGGAATTAACAGGGTGAGAGGCTATGTGGTTTATCATGACGACCCAAACCATCCATGATAACTCGTAATTTTAAAAACCTCACTCTCAGAGATGACGTGGGAGTCTCCCAATGGAGAGTACCATAACGAAAAAGACCACATCCTAGTTTACAGAAGGTTTTGCATGATCGATGTCGCTGTTGTTCCTAAGTACTACACGGGATCGGACGATCGATATCTTCACGTTGGCGCTAAGAAAGCCGAGAGTTCTAGAGTCACGAAGAGGCGCTTGTCTCCGCAAACACTCGAGCTGGTACGTCAACATGGAATCGCACGCGCTACAGGCAAGTAAACCCTTACGTCCTAAACTGAGAAGCGCTGCAAAGAAGCGATAAAAGAGCCCTTCAAAGAGAGAAGAGCAGCAGTTATGGCAGAAGTTTCAGAAGCTGGGAAGAGCATTCGCAAAGCCCAACGAGGCTTCACCAATCATAAAACTAAGATGATTGCAGTCCGATGCCCTGACTGGACACTTGCAGCCTCCAGAAGGACAATGGAGTAAATCATCCACCAGTACTACTCAGATCTCTTCGATAGCCATGTTCTCTTACCGTCATATAAATTGAAAGAAGATGAACATGTCGTTCCAACGGTCCTCCTTTCGGACATCCGACATGTTATATCGCCGGTGAAGAACAGAACAACATCCGGTCAAGACAGGACTAGACCACAACACCTGAGGAACCTACCGCCAGTTCTCATCAACACCTTGGCTCAGCTTTCACTCGCTATCTGTCAGAATGTAAGGTGCCCATCCAATGGAAGCTAGCAAGACCGTCTTGTTATTCAAAAAGGGAGACTTTCACGTCATAGGCAATTATCGCCCAATCTGCTTACTGTCCGTTGTCTATAAACTCTTTACTCGAGTCATCCTAAACAGGATTGATAGAACACTGGACGAAGAACAGCCATTGCGTACAAGCAGGGTTCCAAAACGGATTCAGTACCATAGACTACATACACATGATAACAAGCTCATTGAAGTTTCATGAGAGTACAAAATACCGCTCTGTCTCACTTTCATCTATCTGAAAAGCCTTTGATTCAGTGGAAACAGAAGCGGTTACGGAGGCTCTGGATAATCAGGGCATCCCTACTAGGTACACAATGATACTTCGTGAGCTATCTAAAGATTTCACAACTAAAACATCGACATATTATTTTAACAATATTACCACTGAAGTAAGAAGAGGGGTCTGACAAGGCAACACAATTTCGCCAAGATTATTCACTGCCACCCTCGAAAACTTATGCCAACATTAGAATGGAACGATACGGAAGTGAAAATCGACGAGTCGACAATTAAACCATCTTCACTTTGCTAAGAATATCGTCCTCATATTACCAAGCATCAGCCAAGCGGAGCGAATGTTGACCGATTTCAACAGCGCCTGTGCAAAGATTGGCCTTCAACTAAATCTAACAAAAACGATGTTCGTGAATAACGGAAAGGTTTCGAATGCCCCATTCAGGCTCAACGAAACGAACATTTCCGAATGCTCCAGTTGCATCAGTCTAGGTCGTGATATCAACATAATGAATGACCTAGCTCCAAAGTTGAGCAATAGGAAACGGGCGGGTTGGGGAACGTTTAAGAGCGTCGAGGATGTAGTGGAGAGGACCAAGAACTTTCGACTTCGTTTCCACCTTTTCGACTCGACGATTACCCCTGCCCTAACGTATGCATCAGAAACGTGGTCGCTACGTATGCAGGATGAAAGATCGCTTGGCGTTATTGAACGCACAGTCGAAAGGTCGATGCTACGAGTATACCGTATCTTGCAAATGAGAGAAAGGATCCGAAAATCCGACCTAGGTCAGCGATCGAAAATCAAAGACGCCGTTCTACACGCCAGGATATCGAAAATGAGGTGGGTTGCATCGTGAAGCGCTTCAACGACAACCGATGGGACGAGAGCCGTTATCGACTGGATTCCTCGGGATATCAAGCGCTCTACAGGAAGACTAACGACCCGATATCCGGTTTTTTTTTTCACGAAAAGACTAGAAGAAAGATATGATGCTCAGCGAATCCTCAAAGCGAGGAGGACTCATTGGACTGCTCTCGCACGCGATAGGAAAATATGGAAATGTTGCTGGTGCCCGCTCGAGTCACTCGACGATCAACCGGACGACAGGTGATACAGCTGATACAGGTGATCACAACACTTCGGTGACCTCTCCCTTTCAGATGCTAAGAAGGTTTTGACGATTTCGAAGTGGCCGAAACAATAGCCATCAGAGTCCAAGTAGTTCCAAGCTCGTGCAAGCTTACTTCAGAGAAAAGGACAGTTCGTAACATAATTCTCGTTTTTCATTACTCGTGACGAGGTTCAGAGACGGTCAAACTTTTGAACTGTTGAACAATTTTTCTTCCTTTGATTCTTTTTTAGAAGACACGCTATAGCTTAGACCTTATTATTCCTGTAATTTGGCAAATCAATTGTGGTAAATTTCAGAGCAACGCCGATGCACGTGTGATTGAAATATTGCGTTCTAAAAATGCCCCTCTTGAAAAAGGTGTTCGTGTGGACCCGAGCACTTCCGAAGCCGGAAAACCATCATCTGCTTCGCTGACAAGGCTCAAACATATTCCTGACACCGATTCTGCTGTTCCGGCTACTTCTACAATGCAACGAATACCGAGTGGTACCACGAGTCCTGCAACTGCTCCACAGACACAAACGGCCTACTCGACAACGATTAGTTCCTCTGTCACCCATGTTTCCAATGTCTCTTCTGCAAAAGCAAATGAGAACCAACAACGCGAGAATGCGGGAAGGACCTCTGTTGAAACGGTAGGTACATAGAAAATCTATATATCTAGAACAGGTACCTCAAAATAGCTCCGTTTTATTAGCTTAGCACTGCTAAATTTGTGAAGCAGAATCTTATGCTGTATCAACAGCACTTTTTCTTACGTACCGTATTTGACGCCAATTATGAAGAAAATGATCACCTTAGAACTAAGAGAATTGAGCGGTGAACAAAAACACGGCCTCAGGCAAGAATCGAACACTCGTTTCATCCTATCCGGGGACGCGTGCTCTACCACTACACCACCGACGCACATTCGTAGCAGTAGAAACACTGTAATTTCCAAGTATTATATATAACAGTTGCTGTCAGTTTAACAGGATTTATAAAGCGGAATCGCATATCCGACTAAACCTGTTGAAGGTTGGTGGCTGATAGCTATCTTAGAGATGTTCAAGAATGAGTGATCGAGCAAGTGTGCCTCGGTGGTGTAGTGGTAAAGCACGCGTTCCTGGAGAGGACGTAACGCGGGATCGATTCCCATCTGAGGCTGTGTTTTTTGTTCACCACTCAATTTTCTTAATTATATAAGTAGCATCATAACACTGCGAAAAAATCAGTAGAATTACTATAATTTCAAAGGATCATTTCAGATGTTCAAAACGAAGAGTTGTTGATGCAGAGAAACAAGTAATCTCAGCCATAACACTCCCAAATGTGAAGGCAAGTATGAAGACGTTTATGAGCACGTTATTACCGTTCAGATAGTAAGTTTACAGATCTCGAATGTAAAGGAATGTCGATAACAGAGACAACGCAACAAAAGAATGATCTTCGAAATGCGGACGATGTTGGAACAAGTAATAGTTAGAGACCTCAAAAATACAATGAAACAGTTTTCTATTAGATATTAACGTTTACTATCAGTTGCTCTATGGTGAAATTAGAGAATTTTCAGATAAAGGCGAATAAAAGTGAATTACTGTCTTATGTGAGACATCCTGATTGTCGATTTACTAGGTTGGAAAGAAAGTTTCCATCGTTTGATAAAATATTCAAAATTTATGCATATATCCAGACAACAAACAACAACTATTCTTCAAAATACTTGGCTTTTCGTCTTGGCTTCTTGTGGACAGAGTCAAGCTTTACACTGTCTATTAAGGGAAGTTATCACTGAACAGACAGTGTCGTACACTCGATTGCTCTTGGCTGGTATCGTTAGTATATCATACCTTTTGTTTCAAGTATTTACGTAGGACCACGCTTGAATTTCAAATGTCAGATATTGACAAAAGACGAAAGGGTATCGCCCGACTGATGAGACTGTCAAGGTCGAAACACCTGTATGTGGCCCTATAAGTCAGCCTTACCATGCGTGACTCAAAAAGTGATTATCTTAATGAAATTTGTGGTCCTAAAACATACTGGAAACGAAAAATACCAAAAGTATTTTTTGTTCAGAAATTATGTAGATAAGAATAGTAAGTGATATGCGAAATTTGAAGCCTCAGGCGAGAGTAGAACCTACGTTTCACCAATGCCAACTGTGGTGATATCACGCATCGCGATTATGGAAGAGTTGAAGGTTGCGCACCTGCCTGAGCTTTTTAGTTTTGCATATCACTCAGTATTCTTAGACATATAGCTATAATGTCATAGTAGTGCTATGAAAACTGTACAATGAAAAGTTCTTGCAGATTATTCAAAAATTCTAGATGTTTAGGTGAGTCGCTGTGAGTAATTTCTTCGATTCGATAAACAATTAATCGACGTCTGCAACTTCTGTATGCCATCACTTGATTATTTTGCGCTCAAATTGCACTGTTGTTTAGGGCGAAAAAAATTAAGTTAGTGGTTTTGATTGATTCCTAATGGATACGCCATGCACTCGCCCTTACCTAGCATCGTCTGAGGTGATTGAATACATATCTGACTTTTTCAGTGACTTGTGGCCTAACGATGTATCAAGTCAGGGCTGCTATCTTCTCGAACAAATTTTGTTCCAGTTAATCACCCCAAAGGGAAGCGCAGGATCAAATCATCGGCCACTGATTGAACGACCATGTGTGTCGCAAATCACTTCTAACCACTGCGACACATGCGCTAGCATTGTTGTTAGACTTGTTGCTAAAAGAGATTACGAATTAGACAACGTTTCGCATTCCCATCCAAGAAGATGAAAGGTGAATAATTTTCCCAAACAATATAGATTATTTTCCATATTCAAATTACTAGAGGCATGTTTAGCGCAGTGGTTGAGATGCTTTGTTCGAACAGTGCTGAAGATAGCCAAGTTTCTTGTCCAGCCAAAATGAGAGAGTTTGTGCCATATAATCCTATAAAGAAGCACTAGCGACCTGGTGAAGACCTGGGAGTTTCCTAAAACGAAGATACCAGGCTTCTGGGAGTTTTCTGAATTATTAAGGAGATTCATAAAAAGGCAAAGTCGCTAACTGTATCCCAGTGCTTTTCTTGTAGCTGACCTCATCTTCATCTGCTTGATGCATAATAAATCAGTGACTGGCCTCATCAAGAATAGATCTTTCTCTAGACAACATCTTGTCCGATATCGAACTAACTCACTGGAAGTTCTGGAAGCTTCATCGACACCATCCGGCGCCGGTCACCAGATGATGTAGTTCTGACAGCCTCGGGCTTATCGTATGGCGGTGGTGCTTCGAAGAGAAAGCGAATCTCTCTAAATAACAACAGGTATTTGCTACTGTTGTGTTTTTTTTCGACGAACTCCATTGAAAATGTTCCAGCACTTTGTAGAGCTTGAAACAGCGAAACTTTTCAAAGCTATCGAGAGGAATCAAAGAACAGTGGGATCTCCAACTACACTTTTTCATCTTTGTCAGAAAAAAAAATCAATTTCTTCAAGAAAATTGAGGCAACAGTTTAGGATGCTCACTAGTACAGGTATTATTTATCCTTTGCATCACATTAGATCTAATGTGCCAGACGAAGAGTGTCTTTATTAGCTTCGTAAGGATCCACCCCCTTGTGAATTAGAATCAGGTACACGTGTCGAAAAGTAGGAGCATTTTTGTGGGGTCAAGATTGTTATGGTGCATTTATGCTAAAGAAGTTCATCTACGAGAAGTATCACCAAAGGGATCAAAACTTCGACAAAGTGAGCTTTTTTAGATAGCTGCTTTTTACCTCCATTAATCTTGGAATAATATGAAATACTTGTGACCTAGAAAAATTTTCTCTCAAGCATTTTTTCACAATCTTCTATGGTACAGAATTTTCATTAAAATGTCGTTTTGCAGTAAAAGTGGTATTACTTTTCTTTGCAGGTGCGATCCGCATCCTTGAATTTCTTCGTTATCGTTGACGACGGTTCTGTGGTTGATTGTTTGCCATTTACAACAACGTCGACATCACCAGCTTCCAAACAACCAAATAATTCATGAGCAATCGAATTCTCCAAAGCATTTTATTCCAAAAATTATACCTTCTGCCGACTGTTTGGGGCTTCTTTGTGTTTTTATCTGGACATCATATTGAGTCTCATCCATGGAATCTGAGTCCCGGCTGGAGGTGGTAGAGGAATCTTCAAAAGGCCATG